GCTTCGTTGTTGAAGAATCAGAACAGAAAGAACTATCTACGTGAGATACTAGTTTGACTCATCTTTTTCTTGATGCACTTTTTCCACTGTGACTATATTTGTTGATCGAAATATGATTCATTTGTTTATCATGTTAGATGATGAATATCAAGCAGATCATAAATTAAATGAATCTTTGACTAAAGTGAATTTGCCGTCAAATACAAAGTTTCATCAGCATTTTCGTAAATGATAGTGAGTCTTCGAGATTATAATTGAGGATCATGGTCGAATGACAATCTACATCTATTCCTCAAAAATGATTTCATCAGTGTAATCACTGTTGACGTATCTCTTCATTAATAATTTTTCCTTGATATAAGGCAAATAGAGTGTATTGAAAGCAACGATCGAAGGTCATTAAAATTTAGAATAAATACGTTTTCGTTACATTTTGTTTTTTTTTCTAGCAAAAATCTCGTCTTTAAATTGATTTTAAATGTAACAATACAAAGTGGTAGCATCAACAGAACAAATTCTAACGAGAGAGACTACTGGAATATTTAGGTTCGTCCAATTGCTTTACTCGAAGAGCACAGCTGTCCTTGAAGCGAGACGTAGACTTTTGTAAAGGATATTCCTATCCTCCCACCCTTCTCCTCCTAGACTTCATTGAGTTATGCCACTAAAATAGGAGATGAAAGACTAAGAAAAGAGTTTTGAAAAAACTCACTTAACATACGCCAAGCATTGTCATTGTTCCAAAGTCTAACCATTTATTTAAAAAGTAACAATGACTAATCTATCATTAACTATAAGATGAAATGATTGCCTTATGATATATTTTGAACGAATTGAATTAAGAAATTCTGTCGCCTACTGTTTTTTCTTCGTATTAATTTCGTGAAAAAGAACCACCCACCTGTTCAACATGTAAAATAGTCTCAATCAAAGTGTTCTCGAAAATTCTACTACAACAGATGCGACCACTTATTGAGATTGTTTTCGGACGATGGTAAAACAATTAATGAAAATATAATGTTCATTATCTTCAACTAGAATTACATTGCCCATCAAACTATAGATGAAATCAATGAATTAAATAAATTTCGTTGTGTCGAAGTCGATTGACGAGTAGTTTACAGAAATATTTACTTGTGTTGATTGGTCCACCTTCAATTCGGTTTGAGTCACAACTTTATCTGACTGAATCGATTATCAATGTAGTATGGATAGGAAATTTTTCGCAATCGTTCCAATATGATTTTATCAACTTGGAATAGATTGAATTACAATGATGTTTTCATTCGATCTTGGAAAAAGTAAAGTTTTCTTCAATTAGAAAATTCTATCCTCATTTACGCATTGATTTGAATCGAATTATAATTGGATTATTATGGATAATGATAAATGAGTAACGATCAGTATCGAAAAGAATCACGTGTAAGCCTTTCATCCTCAAAAATCGATTATTTGGTTTGGATATAGTCATTCTCCAACACTATCATAACTCAATGTCGATTATTCACCATTCGTTCTTGTTAATGCTACAGCGAAGAAAACTATATCTTCAATGATCATGCCCATATTCATATCAAACCATTATTTTCACATAGAATTAAAACAATAAAAGAAAAACAGTTGTTGACTGTATCTAAATATCGAGTGACTCGTAATTCGTGCTCAATAATGTTGTGTAATTGAATACAAATTATTTCTCTTGAAAATCCTAGTTCGATCCTGATATTTATGATATCCTCTCACAACGAGACCATTCATAATGAATGCTTTCGTCAAGATTTATGCCGTATTAGTTCACTTAGAACACCCAACTGAAGAATGATCCTGATCGAGATTTTCTTGGTTGAATATAATTTTGATTGCAGATGACAGACTGAAAAAACATTTACCATCGATCATATTTGTGCAAACGAATAAATCAAAAGTTAATTTGCGTCGAAACCTATCACAACAAAACTTTAATCAATATCCATTGTATCTTGTCTTGCGTTTTCTATAAATAGTATAAAATAGGAACAAACTGGATCTACACAACTACCAATGTCGCATATTAAAGTGACAGAACACAGACGATTGAGTGAACTAGTAGATCTATAGGGTTTGTTCATAAATTTTTTCAATCACATGTTCGTTAGTCGTTCATGAATGAAATTCAAACAGCTTTGATCAAAGAAAAATGGCTATTTGTGCCGAAACATTGAAGATGCAGCATTTTTTATTCTAGAATCCTTTAATGATCATTTTCGTTTGATCGAAAAAAAGCTAAACTGATATTTTGCCTTTTAATAACATTTTCGACATAATCGCAAATTGTATAAGATTCTTCATTATTAGACAAGTCAACAGTACTATTGAAATTAGTAGCATAAATAGGAAAAATTCTAGAAATCAAGTTGCTAACTTTCTGAGAGCATTATTAGGGATGAGGACTCAGCCTTTCCTTTATCGAAAGAGGATATGAGGTATTATAAGATGTCAATGTTCAATATGCGTTTCTCGTAAACGAATGTGTACTGCATAGCACTACTGTAAATAGTCATCTTTCATTGTTTGTCTCTCATCGAATTACAATGATATGTTAATGTGTTGTCAACAATTGAATACTCCGTTTTTATAGCAGGTTATGAAAATAGGATAGTGCAAGTATCACTTATGGTTAATGTAGCGGAGAGTTATCTATAGAAACGATAAAAATAAAAGAATACATGATTTGAGTCGAGATTTACATATTAGAAAAAACATATATGAGACATTGTAGAACATACAGTTCAAATAATATTGTTTTTTTTTATCTAGGACTTTATTAAATTGCAACTAATGCATCATTTTCGACAAAGCAAATGCATTCGTTACACTTCCAAAATGATTACTGTGGCAGTGGCTGTGACATGGCTCATATTAATGACTAACTTAGAACCCGAGTAAGAATAAATATAAACAGAAGAGATAAAAAGTCATGTGTTACAGTTGAGAAGACAACGTAGCATTGAATCTTCTCAAAACTCTAGAATTTTCCGGAACTGAAATCTGAATTTTCAATAGAATCTTTCCAGATATAATTTTTCTTATCTTTCATATTCCTACTTAATACAAATTAATTCGTTAAGCAAGAGAAAAAGGAATGAATGTGTGTGTTGCTTTTTCTCATATCTTGATATATTTTTGTCTTAGCAGATATATAACCATGCGATGCTCTCTTTCACACATTGGTTCATAGGGAAATACCTTGATATTCACAAATCGACAAGGCAACGAAAATTGTAGACATATCTCTAAGTTTAACAAGAAATGATTCTGCGCGATTTCTCATCCGTACTTTGGTATCTTTAGAGAATTATTCAATTCACTGATTATCAGTAATTCAGTCCGAGGACGGCTCCAAGAGTGTTCTTATCTTGCATGTTCTCGATCACTTCGATGTACAACACAAAATTCCACATGTTGTGCTTATATTCTCAAGCATTTACTCGTCTTTTTGGATAGTTTTTTAAAGGATCACAATCTTTCATACGTGATTGTCTATGGTAGCCTACTTGGCGCTGTACGTAATCGTACTATTATTCCGTGGACGCGAGATATTGATATTGGCGTTTTTAATAAGACATATTTGCGTTCAAATGAGATTCGTCATGAACTCTTTAAACATGGCTATTATATATTCGAGGTAAAGTCAATCAGGACAAACGAATGTGCAACACTATTCATAATTGATTGCTATCGAAATTAACTGTATTTATTGTCATACATTTGTTCTTTGAATGTAGGTTCTTGGTGTGACTCGCCTTTGTGTACATAAGAATGCCTCAAATTTGACTTGGCTCACAACACAAAGTGTTCATCATAAATCGCCAGAGCATATTGGTGATTTAGCTGCCTATGTTGATTTATATTTTGCAACAAGAAAAACAAAAGATTCGATGTCAAATACTTCAACATTTACTTTACAACCTAGGAATTCATTGTTATCACCTATTTCCTTCCAGAGAAAAGTCACAATCGACGGCCAAATCTTTCCAACTGTTGATAATGTTCACGAACATCTTGCTCATATGTACGGCAGTCGCTACATGCACGAAATTCGATAGTGAAATATTGAAATGGTCAACATATTTGCTGGACAATATTTGCAAAGAATTCTATTGCCATTGATTTAGATGTTTTCACGGCTAAAGTGAACTGCTTGTCATCCGTACAAGACGATCATGAAAAATTTTGCTACTTTCTTCCGAAACAAAAGGTATTAGATAATGCTGTTCATGAACACTGATATATAGTCACTAGAAAGATAAGTGTCATCTCGTTTGAAGATATTCTGTATGCTTAGTATTCATATATTGATGACTTATCAATCAACAATGTTAAACTCTTAAAATCATTGGAATGTTGCGGACGGTTATCGATGAGGATATTTTTTATATTCATACTATTACAACTTCATTCCCAGCTTACTTCCTATGCTTTTAGACCCTCGCTTTTACCTATATCTTACTTTATCTTTTTAAAATAATATCTATTCCATTGGACACTAGACGTCGAGACGACAAGTGAAATCAACAATAAAAGATCAAAGATGATGATCTTGTCAGAATGTGGGTGTGGGTGTAAATGTTTGCTCTCCACCAACACTCACATTCTAACAAAACGATTGTATTTCTTCTGACTATATTTAGAAAACCACAATCGTTTTTTGAACCAAAAATGTTCAGAACGAACAAAACAAAATCTGTATACGATCTCACATTGAATTTCTACATAGCTCCACATTACACTTGTATGTCTTTGTAATCATATACGGAGAAATACAATTAGATACAAGTGAAAACGACATCAACACATGCACTGTAAGATAACGATAGGTAATGATTATTAACAGCAGTCACTCATGAAAAAAGTAGATCGAGTGTCAAGAAGTTTCAAGAACCAGTGCTCAAATGACTAGAGTTATCATGTTTCATTCTTTTGGATATCTTATTTTGATATAAGATAGCATATCGAATTTATTACATTATTAAGGTGAAGTTCGCTTTTGTCAACAATGCAAATCGAAGTAGTATCATACTCCACCAAGATAATTTATTGGTTTGTAGAATGAGTTCTTCTAACGACTGATTATATCGCATCATGTTTATCAAAGATTCGATACTCCAATCACTAATTGACTGATTTTGAAAAAGACACAATCGACGAAGACTCATATTATCAATAAGTGCATCGGCTAATACTCGTACGCCACGATCATCTATATGATTGGAACTTAATGACAGTGAAGTCAATGTTTGGTTCTTTTTAAGCATATTAGCCAAATGTCTTGCTCCTTCGTGAGTAATATTATTATCTCTAAGATCTAGTACTTTGAGACACTTATTAACTGTAAGTGCATCTGCTAAATAATCCACGCCACGATCACCTATACGATTACATTGAAGTTCTAATCTTATTAATGACATGTTATTGCTCAATGTTTTGGCTAGAATCAAAGCACCGCTTGCATCAATATGGTTTCCCTTTAGAATGAGTATACTGCATTTTTTCCGAACGATTGCTTGTTCTACCACAATTGACATATCACTATTGGTCATCAGCCGTTCAGCTAATTCAATCGCCCAATCGGTAGATCGAGTGATGTATTCTTCAAGTTCCAGTTCACGAGGATTTGTCAATTCTAAAAGAGTAAATAGACATGTTCCAAAATTAACTTCTATGCTAAAACAGAATTTCAAGTAGCGCATATCAAAGGTGTTCTATTTACCATTGACAAGATTCTCTCTTCGATCAACCGTTAAAATTTCACTTCGTTGATCTTTGACACAATTTATTTCTTTCATTAATTTTGATTGATAAATTTTACATTCGGATTGATGAATTTCAAGTTGATCACGTGATCCTATCCAAGAACAACTCATATCACTGTTGATCGAACAAGATACATCCGCTTTTGGACACAAATTGTTAATATGATTTTGAAAATTGCCTCGTTGAAGATTTGTTTCACCACATAATGTACACTTTACTTGGATTTCATTGAGCATTCCATGAATAAAAATCACACTAATAGATGTCAAATCCTTTTTCGATAATTCTTCTCGACATGAAGGACATGATGTCTGGCGGCGTTCCAGCCATGCTAAAATACACTGACGACAGAACGTATGTTTGCATGGTGTCGATACGGGATCCAGAAAAGGATCGGTACAAATTGGACATTTCAAATAATTGTCAATTGACATCTCATTCATGTACTCAAATGCACTCTTACTGTCCTTGGCCATTTGTGCTTTCTTTTGAATAAAATAGCAATCTAGAAAAAAGAGCAATGCTCAGTAGAAAAGAATGTGTATTAGAGAGAACTCTAGTAAATATCAAAAGATTTCAATAGACTCTTTACAGGAGTCAAATATGAAATATAGTGGAAGTTTGCTTGAATTCAAAATGATTGGTCAGAACAAGTCAATGACAATCTATTGCTGAGTCACGAATACAGCATATCGACAAAACTGTCACACACTGTGATAGCGTCAAAAACCATATTCAAAGGGTAACAGCGATTTATTCATCTGTGGCATATGATGTCCATTCAAAGTCCAGATATTCATTTACACTCCCAAAATTAGAACTTCATGAATCTAAAAAAACCTTAAATAAATACAAAAGTTAAACTATGTTAAAAAAAACTGTTTTTTAATGATTATATCAATATGTTGGGAACGCTAAGAGAATCCGAAAGTCCGCTGTTCCTTCACTGTATCAATATAATTGTCATACTGTGTAATATCTTCAAAAGATTCAGTCATGGCCGTTTACGACTTGTTTGAGAAGCTAAGGAATTCACTTTTCTTGCTATATATTTTACTACTTATTACTAATTGTGCTTCATAAACTACAGACTATGAGTGTAACATTGGCACGTTCATTTAAATTTTGCCTCGATTTCGACATGTGTGATCTGTACAGGTTGTAAATTTATCAATTATATATTTTCACAAACTCGTTTTTCTTTCGATTTCTACCAATATACAGTTTGAGCGATCTATCAGCGAATTGTTCGGTAAAATTTCCGTTCATTAGTATTTGTTGAAACACATAAAATACTGTCCTGCTTTGTGTTACGAACCATCTGATTCACTTTATTTCAAAGATGATGTTTACTTCTATTACACTATCTAGTTCCACTTACTCCATACTTTTGAAATCAGTTACGATACGATGTACGCTTGTTATAGGTTCGACTTGTTTGAAAATGATGAAATTTGCTTTCTGAACATTTACATGATTTCAATTTCATCGATGTGTGCTTTTCGTTCATATGTGGCAACATTAACAATAATTGACATACAAATGATGAACAGAAGTACACAATACAATTACTTGATGCACGAAGACATGCAACAACTGTAACAAAAATGCTTCGTAAACACGTTTACAACCAAGCCTCAGTATTGACACAACGACAAGAACGAAATAATCTCTAGTGTTTGCTGCAATCACATTATTCGACAGACGCTTTTTTTTTCGAAAGCTTTGATGAGAGATATGAATGAGTCAGAAGCTTGACATTACTCATTTATGTTACGTTACTTCCTTCAGTGACGAAAGACAATTGAATGGAAATAATCAGTGACTTTTATCACCAAAGAAATGAGATTTGATTGACGTTTTGTATTTTTCCCAAAGCTAGACGGCAAATTTCTTTTATCCAACACAGAGACCCTTCGACTATGATAAAAGAGTAAGTTGATGCTGCTTGTAAACTCTAATAAAGCTTTCTCTCGGAAAACAATACTCAACTCAAACAGTAATAAGTAGATATGTAGGAGACTAGTACACCATAGATCCGACCTAGGTCACTAGAGAAATTTTTTTCAGTTCTATTTTCTCAAATGAAAGGTTTATTTGAATCATAGTCCAACTCTATATATGAGGTCATTTGGTTTTGCTTGTGAAAAATGCAAGCTAAAACAACTCTAAAGAGTCTATTTTCTTCTCAAAAAAATCGCTAACAATTGGTGTGTTCAATATTTTGGCAGTATCTCATGAGTGACTCGATCGTTTGAGCTTGAGGATATTTCATTAGATAGAGAACAGTGTGGGCTGCTAATTCATCCTCAGTGACCAAAATATATAGTAAAGAGAACATTATGGGTCACAATATGTCTGAAACCCGAGAAACGAGACCGTGCGAGGTCATGTTATTTTGGGTTTCTCTTGAGTGAAACAAGAGATCCTAGAATTCTATTTTCGTCAAATATAGATCTCGTGAAGATACATCTTTTGACCTGTATTTGTGTAACTTAAAAAGTGGAGGTGCTGGTGGAACGAGCTAGCATGGACCATACCTGACCTTATTCTACCTAGTGACTATTAGTTCTATATCTACAAGTCATTTAATATCTTTCAAAATCTACAAGTTACCTTTATATTTGTGTTTATCGCACGACTCTGGATCGAACAAGTTATTGTAGACTGATCTTCTACTCGAATTTACCGCGTTCAAGATCATGGGTGCATCGCATGGATAGATGAAAAAAATATGCAACATTGTTTTGATAAAAATTCATCAATATTACTATTCATCGAACTCAGATTTTTACCACTTGATAGAAAACATTCAGAACGATCTAATTAGAAAAAAAAATGACAGAGACTAAATATTTTGAACATCGTTTTACATCGACAAAGAAGTCATTTATAACAAACCAACGCATCATGAAAAGCACTGATGTCAAAACACAATGGTGTTTCAAGTATCAAAACAGCTCATGAAACTTCAATATTTCTAATCAAGTGTACCCATATATCAGATGAACACTCACAGATAAATCCGTCTTTCAATGACACATACACTAATTCACTACTGAGCAAGATAGATTTAAAATATTTCACAAAGCATCTTCTCTAGCCGTAGTTATCCTGATTACAATGAGCTGAGTGCGTTGGTGAAAGAACACAAATTAAGCACTAATTTAACATCAATAAAATATGAATTCGATGTCATTCTGGTAATGCTTCAATCCCATGCATGATTTGCTATTCAGCTGTATTATCTCATTTCCTAAGCCAGCACAAGCACAGTTAACATGACATCCTATCAATATAAATCTCGACGAATGTTTGCTTTCATTAGGTTTTTTAGTTCAAAACTATGGATAACCATTTTTCTGGCATACTTCATTTGATAGCCTATTCGAAAGCTACAAACACTATATTTTTCAAATTTCTAAACGACTAGTCATTTTCAAAATCTCCAGACACAATATTTTCGAGTGTTTAATGAAATGTTTTTGGAATATTGAACAGATGTAGAAGTTATCTTTTTTTTAATACTATACTATTAATGTCCATGGCATCTTTTGCCTGTAAGTCAAAATTTAATTGCATGTAACTCTTTATTCCATTTACAAATTAGTATTTATCCAATATGATTCTGCATCAGTTGTGAATAAAATGATTTCTTTTAAATATGAAAACTACTGTTAATAGCAAAAAGAATTTCGTAATAACAGATTTAATATATATATATTCTGGAATACAAGAAGAATCATAACCGATACTGTAGTATTTGACAAAAAGACAATGTTGAATTTTTGATAATATAAACACAAGATGTTGTTAGCCTCCTCTACTATGATGAATGTCTATTTTTCACTTCATATAATATAGAAGGTCGAAGGTCTTTATCAATGTGTATTTTTATTAAACTGAGCTAATTTGGGTCAATTATATTCAACTACTATTTACTGTCTCTGTTAGCCCAAAAAGCAATAGTTTATTGAATTCTATTCGTTGACTGTTTTCAAGACAAATTAAGAACAAAACTTATTTAAACAGACAGAGAAAACTTAGAAAGTCATTGATATAGTTTATTTAGTTTAAACTATATTCTATTATAAATCGTTTCAATTTCTTTTTCGTTATTTTACAAACAATATAGCTTCAATTGAAGTATAAGAGGATTCATTAATCGGTATGAAGAACAAATGACAGTCTGATCTTGTGCGACATCTTACTAATGTGCTGACTATTTGACAGCATCGTCTGTATTTATTTGGTTATTAATGATACATGTTTTTCATGGATAGATCTGCACTGTCAACCAAACATTTCTTCCTTTATTTTTATACTTATTCTTGTTGGTTTCGTTCTGAAGATGTCTAGATTCAACATTGTAACACTGCTAATATAACCCATAATTTATCTTGTTCCGAAATGTAAATTTGAAACTTGTTCTAAATCATTTTTCTCATTTTATTATCTTAGTTATTAAATATGCATATTAAAAAGCGTACAGTTTGTTTTGATACTGGTGATGATCTTATTCAAAAATCATCGATCTCAAAGGAAAAAAAAAGTCATAAATATTGGCGTCGATTTATGAATGAAAGAGCAATTAATCGAGCTTATGTACCGACAACGCATGGTATACTTTTTTCTTATAAAATGATAGTCTTGATTTTTCTAATTTTTGCTTATATAGAACACGCAGCAAATTGTTTAACACATGGTTGTCTAATCATTCCATCGTTTATTGCTGCTCAACGGTTAATATCTCATGCTAAAACACCAGCACAATATTGGAGTAGTATTATTTATGGGAATGCTCTCATTTTTCTTTTTTCATCTTCGACTATTTTTCATTGTTCATGTTTTCATCCAACATACAGGTAGAATTGAAATTTTTTATTAGATCATTAACATAGATATTATTTTATTCATAGAGATTCAACAGTGAGGCATTTATTACATCGAGTTGATCGAGCTATTATTTACATTTTTATTAGTGCCAGTTATACACCATGGTTATACTTCGTGATATATTTGTAGATTAGAGTTTTACTTTATTTTTTTAGGCTTCTTCTTCGTCCAATTCAAGCAATTCCAACAAATTTTACTGTAGGACTCGTTTGGATAATGGCTATATTAGGCATTACCTATCAGATTTTATATCATGAAAGACATAGATGGCTTGCAACATGTTTTTATGTTTTTGTTGGTGTATTTCCTGCTATTGTTATTATTGACATGGTATACTTAA